AAGCTGTTAAACTATAATGTATAATCTATAATCATTTTCTCACAGCTCTACCAAACGGGCCAATACATAATATCCGACACTACATTAGATATTCCAATCAAGGAGACTGCTTCCACCTAAAGTGTCAACCAAAATTTGACTATCTATAAAGATGGATACACAAGGTAGTCTTTGATATGCTGCCCATTGGATTGCCCTTAAACATGCTTGGGCTTCAGCTGCTAGCGGTCCTGCTGCACAATTTGTTATTGATTGCCATCAAAACATATTCATGTTTTATTCCAGCCTGCTGATGTGCTGCTTTCCATAACCCATCAATGATTATAATCCATATCTGAAATTCTGAATTATTACAGAGTAAATTAACCAAAATGCAACAATTGTCTTTCATTTGATTTGGTTCCTTCAGATTGTCATGCATCATTTTCGAATGCCCAAAGGAATCTGACCAAACATTATAGAATAATTCACTTGCAAAGGCAATTTGTTGAAGTGAACAAAGTTTCGCGGAAAATAGCATGATTTCGATGTATCCAGATGGTCCACAAAATTGCGATGGATTGAATGATGATGTTCTCATCTCACACACTTTCGATCCACAAATGAAACCAATTATTGAAAGAAACTGGATCACCTCAAGTGAATTTGCTTAAGATGGATGCTAAGAATATGATTCAAACTATATGGAGGGAAGAACACCCCAAGTAAATTAACATGCCAACTCCTCGTGGAAGGATCAATGAAATGTGACAGCGAAAGAGATGGAAAAAAATTGCTCAAGTCCGTATCACTAAGAGGGTTCTCAATCGATGGTATCCATTGATCTTCAATGGGTTAATTGTGTTTCCATCACCAACACTCATCGAATTCCAGAGTTTAGAAGATTTCTACCCCGTAAGATACTTTTCCAACCCCAAGAAGAAGATGAAGCTTTTTAACAGTAAGAAAAGATTTGTGTGCACAATACTTTCCCAGTAACACTCTGGCTAACAGAGATCGCGGACAATTAAGGATACGCCAAGCAATTTTAGCAAGCATAGCCTGATTAAAGCAACCCATATCTCGCATTCCCAGCCCTCCCCATTTTTGGGGTAAACATTAATGATCCCATCTCTTCCAACAAATTCCAGTCCCTATTAGAGTACCACAAGAAGCTGCGAATAATAGATTTGAGTTTACATATGAAACTCTGTGGGACTTTGAACACAGAAAAAATATAGATGGGTATGGATTGAAGAACATATTTAACCAAAACACATCTTCCTGCAAAGTTCAAAGCATGACATTTCCACCCTGGTAATTTATTCTCGATTCTCAAAATAATATTGCCAAACCACTCAAAAAAATTTCTGCCCGCGAAGTTCATCATAGCACCCAATAAGTACCTGGACAACCCACACTTTTAATTCAAAAAACACTACCAACAATTTCTTTTATAGTTAACGGTTGCACTTTGATTTAAAATCACAATAGAGTTTTCCGACAATATTTGAACCATAAGAGATAAAGTGCTCTGACCTCGAGCCACAATAGGGTAAAATTGAATTTTACCCAAAAAATAATAATAATCACAAGCAGAAGCACAATCCTATCTGTGTCACAGAGAGAGTGAGAGGACAGAGAGAGTTTACATGAAATTTGTTGAAAATTGCTGGTAAGAGGATTCGAAACATGAACAATACATACCCTTCGGGCCAAGATTGTTCATCCACGTTTTTTTTCTTTGCTTTTGTGGGCAGTTTATAAAACAACGTAAACAAGATTCTTCTGTTTACAGTTTTCAGCCCGATTTAAAAACTGAGACTTACAATTTATAAATATAAAAAAATTATTAAACAAGTTTATATACTAATTTTTTAAATTTTTGTAAATATAAATAGAAAATTATAAACAAAATAGTTACCAAACAGATCTTTAGTAATTTTATTTTATTTTTTTTGTAACTTTTTAAATCCATCTAGACTAGACAATCTTAAAATTATTATTTTTTTGAAAGAAGTCCACTAAAACGAAATAAGTTAACTATAGTTATAGAGTTAGTTTATTTGTCTTTTATGAAGTTTAAAATTTAAAAAAAAAAAAATCAAAATATTAAATTTATATTATCATGAAATACTTTCAGTTTTTTGGGTGAATAATATAGTACTTTCTGTTGCAATTAAAGTTCATCACATTTTGATTTTTATTTTGATTTTTAGTTTTCATTTTGACTTTTGAGAAGAACTTCCTTCCATAGTCAAAACCAACTATAAACCAAGATTAATACAGCTCAAATAATGGAAAATTGTTGGCCTACTAAGGCCTAACTAAAGCATTCAATTTGATTAGGTACGCCGTAATATTTGGAATATAATTTAATTAGGTAGCGAAAACATTCAATTTTCCTAACATAACTATCTCACAAAATTCATAAGTACAGCAAGTGCATAGGCAATGAAATGAAACATTTTATTATCTTTTATTATACATTCTCAGGCTAAACACACACCAAAAAAAAAGAGAGAGAGAGAGAGAGAACAAGAAGTTGTTATTTCTAAAAACTAAAATATGTACTAAGCTTCCAAACATCAAGACTTCATGTCTATCTACAAATGCAGATAGCTTCAAACACAAACCATTATGTTATATCATCATCACCTACATATATAAGGAAGAGAAGTGAGCCAAAACACAATAGACACTGATATATCAAAGTTATTTTAAGACAATGACATCTTCATTTCGAATAATCATAACTAAACTTAAATGCTTTGAAACTTAATCTACATTTCAAGTATAACATTTCTTATGCATTGCCATTTCCAAACATAGTGATAATGCCCATCCAAAGGGGGCAAATTAGAACATAACAAAACATAACTGGGTAGACTCTAATTTTGTCAAAACCCCCACAATCTGTGGTAGAGGTTATCATAACAATATTTTTAGTATATTTTTCGTCTTCTAATGGCTGTTGGAACTAAAACCGTAGATGAGATCTTTATGTATTGAACATAATAGACATATGATATTCTTAAATGATAAAACATTTCATATTCAAAGAATATAGTATAGATTTTAAGTTTCAAAAAAGTATTACTAAAAATAAGCTAAAATAGATAACCACTCACCCGTTTTCCCCTCAAAAGATAGGTTAGTCCAAGTACATTTCAACCTACATAAATATAAAGAAAGCACTGCATCGATGATTCTTGATCCAAATGTGACAAAATCAAGTGAACTTGTTAGCAGTCTTTTCCTTCAAAACAAGTCATTTTGAAAAATTCACTGTTTCCAAAAATCTATTGTTCTCACTTATTTTCAATTCTAAGTTTAATGTTTAATGCTGAAATTGGTCTGTGAAGGTAAGAACGAGTCCAAAAGGAGCCAAAAAAATATAAATAAAAATTTCCTCCACTAGAGCAGCCAGCTCACTCCTATTCAACTTGTTTTTGTATTTCCTACACTGTTTTTGACATTTCAGGCCCAAAATTAACATTTTAAAGGCCTAAAATCATGAACTACACCATCCTAAAGACATAGAAAGTAAAGAGAACTCTTTGATTTCCAATTTCCAGATAAAACCTTAGAGCTTTTCCAAATCATAAGCTTGAATTCAATGAAATCAAGTCTAAAAACGTAAGTTCTTCAATTTTTTCCTCAAAGACTAGTTTTAAACAAAATCAACCAATTAAAAGGTTATAATAAGCTGTAGGAACATAAATTTTACCTCAATTCAAGCTAGGAACAAATCTAAGTAAAGAAAACAAGCTTTCTTCTTTTCTTTTCTTTATTCTCTTCTCTTTTCTCTACAAAATTTCTCTCTATATTTTCTTTCGTTTTTATTTCTACAGAGCTGCTTGTCTCTCCTATATATGTATATATCTACTCAAGTAGAAGGTGGCACACTCCTAAGTGAAACATGTGTTGATTGTCCCAGCTAATTACATCATTAACTTAATTAATCAATGCTGACAATAATTAAGTTACGTTAGTGCTATCTTATCAGGTTTAGGTCTCTAATCACACTTAACCTAATTAATTATGTTTAAGCTTAATTAGTCTTGGAATGCACTAATCATGCTTAATTATCGCTAATCCCTATTAAGTTTTCACATAATATATAAGAATGTTAAGAAAATTAAATTAAGGCTACTAAGCACCTTGATTAGAGAAACATAAACATGTATAGACATATCAATAGAAAAAGAGTCTTTCAAGTTCACCTCTCTAATTGTCCCTCCATTTCATATCAAATGACATATATCTGTTCAAGGCTATAAACATTGCATAACAAAACATGCAAGTCTATTTATTCTAACAAAGCATGCCTTCAAATGTTTCATATATTAAAACAAACAAACAAACAAACAAATTTAACTTCAGACATTCTAAGCATTAAAATGGGAGATATGTGCATGTCATGCAATACAAACTCCTAGGGTGTTAGGAAAACAAACCTAAAATGGAGGGTACCTTGCACACCTAGACACTTCAGATAGAAGAAAATAAGACCCCAACCCCTAACATCAAAGCATCAAAGCAGAACAAAACCTATGACAATCTATTGTCTCGCACAACACAAAACTAAAAGCTTACTTTATGTAAGTGACTTCCATTTGTGGTAGGATACTTTCTTCCTAGCAAATCTCCCGCTTATGAAACCAGCACATCAATGTCCAGAAACTGTTAGGAGAAAATAAGACCTTGAGGATGAACCCATGGAGAAAATGTGAAGAATTCCATATGCACTTCTGTTTTCTTCTTCCAATGTCAAAAGTCAATTATAATACTGGATTAGCCTACATTTTGACAGCAGTTATTGCCAAAAAAAGAAAATTCTGCCATTGATCAGTTGTATAGTACAACTGATTAGAGCACCAATTGCTTTGGCAATAGCAATGACTGTTCTTTCAGCAAGACTGCAACCTATCATACAAAGCCCCATCAAGATATAGTTGAGAATTTATTTACCCAGTTAACAGCATCTACAGAAGAAAAGAAAAGAAAAGAAAAGAAAAGAAAAAAATGCAGAATTGATTGCATGCTTGACCATGTTCTTCCTAAAAGAAAGCAACTTGCTTTCAAATATATTTGGACAAAGACACATCCCAAGAACCCAAAACCAGTGTCATTTGTATCAGATGATAACAAGAAGTTAAACATGATGGAAATCAGCTACATGTTTTATGGCTACAATTATCAACATAGAATGGAAGTTTAACCTATGTACCCATACAAAATTTTGCTGAGGCTATAAAATATCTGGGTCATTATAAACCAAATCCAACTCAACAAACATGAACCCGGTGTTTGGATTCTGAATTTGTGGGAGATTTGTCAAGAGAAAAGAAAATGAATGGGATATGTGAAAGAAAGAAAAAAAAAACCCAGCTTTTATTTCATTCACTTTTCCCTCCACAAATTCAAAATCCAAACACAGCCCAGAGGATAAAAACTTATATACAGTCATCACCGACCTCTGCTGAGAATTGTTAAGCGGATTTGCAGAAATACTAGGCAGGCTTCCAACAGGAGAGAGCAAAGAGTGCTCGTCCTTTCCACCCACTTAACATCCACTGGCTAGCATCATCCACAAAAAAGTCCTTGTGGTAGTTTGATTTCACCCTAGTCCTTATTTGTTTCACGATCTCCTGGTTCAGAGGAAGTTGCTTGAAGCCAGCCCTCAGCATCCGAATCTGCCAATGCTTGTACGTCTCTGGCCTTTCTGTCCTCTCTAATCCTTCACACGCTACGACATTCAGAATTTCCTTCCCCCATATGTCCCTCTCGAAAACCATCCTCTCATGATTTTCACGGGGCACATTAGCCTCCAACATGTCAAAAAATGCAGAGAAGTGGAAGAGAGCCTCACGGAACCTTGAGACAAAAAAGGGGGAATTGTAGTTCCCATTAACTATTCCATGTATAAAAATATCTGGGTTAATCCTCAAAATCAAGTTCAAAACAGCATCGCGAGGACTATGCTGCATAATTGTTTCGTCAAGTATGTGCATAAGATGGTACAAACAGTTCACAACAAGCAATTCATCTTTCTCGATTCCAAGATCTTCGACATTAACAGTTTCCCATTTTTGTGCAATGCCATTGTACTCGAATGGAACGTTGAACTTCTCACAATATTTTGCCAAGCGACTTCCTGTTTCGTTGACCCTTGCAGCTGGCCGGAAACCCACTTGTGGAAAGTCTATTCCCGTGATGCGAAGCTTGGGAGATCCACCCGCTCTTGTTGAGAGACGCTGAATAAGGGGTATCCATTGAACACCAGACATAGCCCCAAAATGAATAATGTGAAGACTTGTTACTTTGGCAGCCTGTTCCATAACCATTTGGGTTGCGAAGAAATGTGATGACTCCATGAAAGGGAATGTTGAGAGGAACAACTTATAAGCTTTCAAAACATCAACATATGACATACTGGCAGCGAGGGCTCTATTTTCCAAACTCCCAGTACCGACCAAGCGTGCCTCAAGGCTGTTGGCAAAGTAATGCGCCATCCTTTGGGACCCATCACCCCGAGGAGAAGAACGCCACCTTATCTGCCTCAGTAGTTTTCTTGCACTCTGGTGATCATTGTTTGCTACAGATTGCATACATTGTATCAGAAGATTCCTCATATCAACTGCTTCCCTTTTGCTAACCCCTTTTTTAGCGTAGATCATTTCACAATTCAACCCTTTTGTTAGCTCATTTTGCTGTGACTCCCAACTTGAACCATTTAGAAAGGCACCACCATCACGAGGATTTAATCCAGACTCAGCATTGTTACCATACAAGGACAATACCTTATCAAACATCTCATGTAAAACAGACTCCTCAGTATAGACGGCCAAATGCTTGTTACTTCTTCCTTCTTCTAAATCACTCTCCTCTCGGTGATGATTTTTTCTTCCCTTCAGCAAACTACTATCTGGCAAGTCCACTTCATCCTTTTCCGGATCAGGTTTTACTTTCAAAACTTTTTCCTTTGATACAGGATGGGTTAATCCCTGGTTCTCAAAATATGTTAAACTACTTCCACTTTTAGATGCTTCGCTATAGAATTGATCGACCAAGTTCCCATTCTTTTCCAGGGATAGGATCTTCACTGTTTCCTCTATCCCCTTATTGAATTGCCAACTAGATCGACTCTCCAAAACCGGATTCAAAAGAGACTCCACTAGCCCAGTATGACCAGAGGAGCCAGAAGAGCAGAATGATTGTGAATTGGTCGGTAAGGTGTGGTCAATATAAGGGTTATGTATTTGAGAAGATTCATACTTGTGGAGATCTGTAATCATGGATGATTCAATGGAGTTGTTAGGACTGATAGAGCTGCCACTGCAATTGCTGCAACAGTGAGTAATGCTATCATCTGAGCTGCTGCTTGGATCATCATGGTGCAGTGGCTGACTGGGCAATGAAGGATATTTCTCATTAAGTATTTCGTAGAAGGATTTCTCAGCAGCATGAAGAGTGGAGTCCTGGATTGTGCAGTCCTTATCCTCTGAATCATCTTCCATTAATACCTGATTTACGAACCTCAAAACAGCATCAGAGAAGCCATTTTCGTCAGCAGAATCTCTGTCCAATCTGTTGGATACATCGGTGCAGTGAATCACAGGGTCTGAAACATTTGAAGTCAGGGGAAGATCCACAACATTATAATCTAGGGAGGTGTCTTTGAGTTGGAATCCTTTGACAACATTAGAATCTGAATAGGCTGAAACAGACCCGTGATTGCATTCATATCCATTCTTGGAATCAGGAAATGCCCACAAAAATGAATCCATGAGCAGCTTTCTTGTAGAGAAATTGGATGAAAGTTCAACTCCAATAACTCAACCTGTAGTTAAATAATATCCAAATTTCAGTAAGTCAAACAATTATTATCAGTCCATTCGCTAAAGTGGGCGAGAAAATAAATGATAAAATCATGGTTTCTCAGTGAGAAAAAAAATATAAAAAAAATTATAGGGTTTCTCACCATTGTGTTTGGATGAACAAGAAATAATAAATAAACAAAGATGCATGTACCTTTCTATTTTCAATGCGTCGTGTTTAAATGGGCAGATTACAAATACAACTTTTGTTTCTCTCATATATTTTGGTGAGAAACAAAGCATGAATTTCAAGAGATTTATTTTTCTCTATTTCTCATCAGTTCTTACCAATTCAATCATCTCAAACAAGTAATGAGAGTTCTCTTTCCCTTCAATTGAATTCAAATTTTTTTTTTTTTATATCTGGCACCAAACCCCTCAATCTAGATGAGCTGTGAGAGAGAAAATTATGATAGATGCAACTGTTTTAATAGAGAAACTGTGAAATTCAATACACACAAGAAAAACGATGGGGGAAAAAAAAAAAAAAAAAACCAAGTGGAAAATTAGAGAAATATTTTGAAGAAGAGAGAAATTAAAGAATTTCTATGCGACATAGTTCCAATAATTACACGAAAATCAAAGACGAGAACGAATAAGAACACCATACCTCGAAAAAACCCTAACAAAATTGGGATCAACAGTCAATGGCGAAATGGATTAGAACTGCGAAACTAAAAGCGCAATTATTGTGAGGTAGACTCGCTAGTGGTTGATCTTTGACTTCCCATTAATCGAATTTGATTGTGAGAAGCTGAACATGACTTCAAAAGGTACCGTAATACAAACTCCACATTATTTCAATATTTTACACGGAGGAAAAGTCAAATCAAAAAAGCTTCAACTTCAATTGAATGCTCTCTGTTTCAATGGCGGCTCTTCAATGCCGTTTGGACAGGACGCAAGATTCCGAGGGTTTGCAATTCCTTCGGACAGCTATTTTCTTAGGCAGTGATCGCTCAAATGGCGAAGGTCAAACACTCGCATTTTCTTCTGGAGGAGTTCTATATATACAAGTCGCTTTGTAGTGATTGGTGACAAATTTGATAGTAATACGAAAATTTTAAGATAGCGTTTGGTTTCATTTCGGGTTATTTTGAAGAGTTGGTTAACAATTTAGTTTTTTTTTTTTTTTTTGATTTTCACAAAAAAAGTTAAATATACCTTCAATCTTTTTTCTTTCTTTTTTAATATATTTAATGTTAACAACCTTCTTGTTTTTCTTTTATCTTTTTTTTATAAAGGTTTTAGCTAAATATACCTTCAATCTTTTTTCTTTCTTTTTTAATATATTTAATGTTAACAACTTATTTTTTTATTTAAATGTTTAAATATAAAATAAAATAAATAAAAATTATATATTTAAAATAAAATAATAATTTTTTTAAAAATTTAAAATATTTAAAAAAAATGCAGCACTTAAATATAGTAAACACAACGCATATTAAAAAAGATAAATAAATATTTACAACAAAAAAATTTATCCTAAAAAAATGAACCCAAAACAATTTTAAAATACAATTCAAAACTCATAACCAAACAAATTTTCTCTTTTTAAAAACTTATCTTTCAAAATACAACTTAAAACTCAAATTTCGTTTCAAAAATTAAACCAAATGAATCCTAAGTTTTTAACAAGATGTTTAAGCTATTTAATTATGATATATTTGGCCATCTTCAACGGTTCATCTTTTTTTTTTCATCAAATTTGAGTAAAAGTTTCATTTGATATCAAGTGCTCTAACAAAGGTTTTTAAAGTTTTGTCAAAACACCAGTTGACCAGGCAGATGTCCGGCTAATTTTTTCACAATTTTTTTATCTTAAGGTGATCTAAAGGGATATCCGGTGGTGAAAATCTAACAAATATGAATAGTAATTTGATGAAAGGCACATCCATCCTCAATTTGATGAAAGATTTGAGAAATCCTAGATTTGATGAAAGATTTGGCGCCGGTTGAAGCAACAAAAATTAAGTTTTTTTATCAAATTTAAATTTAATGAACCATTGGAGATAGTCTTAGAGTGTTAGTTATGAATTATGAATTAGTTATTGTTGGCTTTTTAGGCTTTCGAATGTTATTATTGTAATTGTGAGCGTGCCAGCAATGATCAATCAGTCCTTACAGAATATTAATTGCCAACCATTTATCAAACAATTATGTTTTAGTTCTTTTAGCCTCAATGAAGAAGACTTTTATTAGTGGCTTTGTTTAGGAGAATTAAGTAAACAATGATTAAATAAAAAAACAATTGTAGTATTTCATTGAGTAAAATGAAAGACTTACAAAGATCCAAATCAGCCTCGTAGAGGTTTACAGCAACAAACTACTTGAAACTACTTCTATGAACGAAGTGCAGTGTAGGAATTTGAAGTACAGAAATGTAAAGAGCAAGAAATGTAAAAACTGGAACGAAAAATAAAATAGATAAAACTGATTTTTTTTATCTGAGTTTGGGGGCACTTTTTAGGGCCTTCTTTGCTATTTATACTTCTTAATGACAACCGTCAAACCGCATTTCTAACCGTCGAACCATCCCTCCATGGTCGTTGATCATGCTGCCTTATAGTTAGCTTCACTATGTCATATCTACAGTTAGGCTTCCCTCCTGATTTTGAATTTAAATATGAGTAACCGTTGAAGTCACGTCATCTTGCATCTTTTTATTGATCCAGTGCTTATGCAGATCTACAAAAACCAATACTAACTGCTACGTGTGTGATTATGATTGAAGATTCGAATTGTCTTACCGTATTGCCCTTATCTTGCCACATGTTGAACTATAATTGGCTTATACAAAATATGTAGCCAACAGTTATATATATAGTAGTGTTAGTTATACATTCTGAAGTAAAGTTATGGCATTGTTTTAATTATGAGTTAAAAAAATTTAGTTATAATTTATTATATGATGTTTGGTTATAATATATATATATATATATTAAGCCCTCATTTGGCAGGAGACTACCAAGTTAAAATTGTCACAAAATGATAAAAGAAACTAAAAAGTCAGTTTAGACAAAATGTTACATTCAAATTATAATCATTTTATTTTTTTTCTCTCACAAAAGTAAAAAAAAATCAAAAAACCCAACTAAAATGAGATTTTTAACCCTAGGTTAAAATAGTCAAAAAATTAACCCACTTTCCAAACGAAACCTAAGTTAGGATTTTCGTAAAATTGAGTTATGACATTTGTGATAATCAATCCTTCAAATGTCATAACTTGCATTTGATGGTGTGTACCGTAACATTAGCCATGACAATAAAGACAGAGAGAGAATTTTTTTTTTTTTCCTTCTTATAATTGGTTCATAAGATATCTCTACATAAAATTACGTAAGTTTTCACGAATTTACATAAGTGATTTTACAAAAATATATAAGTTAAACACAATTTCACATAAACTTACGTAATTTTGTATAAAGTTGCATATGGTGTGTATTGTACACCGGAACATATTCCCTCTAAATTATTCACTAAATCTTTCAATAAATTTAAATTTCATAAAAATTTTAGGGGGGGGGTGTGGCTCAAAAGTGGCTCAAATGGCCAAAACGACGTCGTTTTGAGTACAGAACAACATAAAAGTGGCCAAAACGACGTCGTTTTAAGATATAGATTATACTCAGCGACCTAAATTGAAAATTTTCAAAATTTTCAAAATTTTCAAAAAAGATAAAAATAAGTAAAAAAAAATATAATATGTGCTTATTTTGGCTCTTTTTAATTTTGGATAAATTATATTAATACCCCTGAGATTTGGTATAATTACATCACATCCCCTGACATTCTAAAAATTACATTTCTACCTTCCGGTTAATAGTCTCATTTTACAAACCTCCTACTTATGTAAAAAGCAACAACTCCTAATAAAAAAATATAAGAAATTACATTTAAAAAAAAGTAAAGCAAAGGAAATGAAGGAAAAAAAAAAACAAAGAAAGTAAAACAAAGAAAGTAAAACAAAGCAAGAAAAGAGAAAGTGCATGAGTTCAATATCTTTATTTCATCTAAATAATTATAATAACAAGGAATTAGTGTAATTTCTCAAATGTCAGTGGGTGATATGTATTAATCTCAAGAGGTGTAAGTGTATTTACCCTTTAATTTAAAAAAACGAAATATAATTTTTAGATTTATTTATAGAAGACGGATTGGAAAAATTAAAAAAAAAAATTACATAATTTTGCAAAAAAAGTGTCAATAAAAAAAAAGAAAAAACAAAAGAGAAAAAGAAAAACGTGGGTTATTTGGAAGACTCATTCATTAAACTTGATGTCTATCATCTCAATGCATTAACATTATATTAAAAAGAATAAGTCGTGTATCCAGACTTACCCACTTAGATTTTTCTAGGTGAATAGTGGAGGTTTAATTTAAGTAGTGTTAAATTTTTATGTAGAATAAATTTAAATTATAAGATGATAATTTCGAATAATTTTTAAGTTAATAGTGAATTCTTAGTATTACTATATTAAAAATAAATCCAAGTAGGACACACCCATTATACTAATATTTTGCCGCAGATGAAATCTAAATATATTTATGATTTAAAATTATGATAAATATAATATTATTAGGTTTCTAATAAAAAGAAAAAAGCAATAAAAAAAAACCAATGACATAAATTGGGAACTAAACCAATCCCAAATATTATATTGTTAAACAAAGAGTAATGTTAGAAATTTTAAAAATTTTACTAAAATTTTTATCAAATGTCTCACATTGATGTGAGATCTATATGGGACTTACATTGTGTGAGTCCTACACCCATGTAAAACATTTGATAGAAATTTTCGTAAAATTTTTGGAATCTCTAACATTTTTCTAAACAAAATGCTAATATAAATATAATAATTCCACATAGACCATCTCTAATTTTTCATCAAATCTTTTATCAAATTTAAATTTGATAAAAAAAATTGATGAAAACAATGCTCTAATCGTTTCATCAGTTTGGTATCAAATGAAGGAAACGATACATTTTTCATCAAATGAATGGAGTGTTTGGACTAGATGTTCGTTTAGATGTCTACCCAGACATCTTCTTGGATAATCGATTTTGGAATGAATTTGATAAAAATTTACTCTAATCGGACGACCGGCCAGTCGATTGGTCAGATTTGATGAAAGGGTTGGAATGTATCGTATCAGATTAAATTTTTACTCAAATTTGATAAAAACATCTAATGAATGATTGGAGATGCTTCTAGTGGGTTCACTTTGAATCTATTTTCATAATTTGAATTACTCATTTTGTAAGATTTATCAAATAAATTATTAATGTACAAAATGAAATTATTAATAACATGATTAGATTATATTTATTTAAAACAATAGATGACAAATATAATTTAAAAGAAGGATAAATTACACTTTGCCCCTTTATGTTTGGTCACTTTCCTACTTTGATCCCATAATTTATTTATTTTTCACTTTGACTATTTATGTTTCAAGTTTTTTTTTTTCAATTTATTCCTAAAATTAACTTTTGTTCAAAATTAAACATAAAATATTATAATAACTATAACATAATATAAAAATAGATTATTATATTAGAGTTTAAATTTATGTAAGTGATGTGAGTTATAAAATATTTTTATGTAAGGGTATAACTTGGGCGAGTTCGGTCGGGTTGAGAGGTTGTTCAAGCACAGCCCAAATTGTACTGAGATCTATCCAGGCCCGCCCAAGCCTGAATTGTAACCCGAGGTTGCCTGCCCAAGCCCGGTCCGAGTTAAACTTGATTTGTCCGAGTTGCCCGAATTGTATTTATTTATTATTTTTTTTGTAGCTACATTATTAAATTATTAAAATTTGACACTATTTATATTTTTTATATATATAGAAAATCATTAATACCATCAAAATAAATAATTTATATAATGTAAGAGAGATGCTGCTATAGTAGTCTTTATAATATATGAGTGGAGAAAAAAAAGAGTAAGATTTTATGTTATTTGTATATATAATATATATTCAATATGATTTAATAATTCAAATTTCTTTAATATCATGTAATGGCTAATAATTT